CCTTTCTCCCCTTGGAACCATTCCACCAAGTCTGCATGTTTTACCCACCCAAGGCTCTTCTCAGGTCATAGATCATCTCTTGACAGTGAAATCAGACGTTGGCATCTGACAAGGCAGATGGGCACTTCTCACGCGGTTCATCACTTTGTTCTGGAAACCCTTCCACAGCCTGATTTTCGCTGTCATGCTCACTGCGTTTCAATTTCTTCCGCTTCTTAGCTTCTCCTCTAATTTCAGATTTGTATCTCTGCCCCTTCTAGGGGTCACACGCAAGGCCTCTCACAGTTTAGGCAAGCACTCCACTGTATCCCCAACCCTTCAATTTCTTAAAGAAACAGCATCCCAAGGCCCAGTCCTTATAGTATGTTGCCATTTTCACTGGCTCCCTGGGTGGTCTTATCTAGAGTTTTGTTACTGAGAACACACTATGCTGCCTTATCTAATCTTGTTTTTGGGGAATAAGGTGGGTCGTGACTGTGTTTCCCTCTTGGGGTGGGGGTGACTAACCAGTGAAAGAGAATTCTGGGCGGCCTTTTGTTGTTTCTGGTGTTCTCTGTAAGGTGGGGATGGTTGCCTGAGAGGATGTGGACTGTTTTGGGTCTGCCTGAGGGTGGGGGACTTGCTTCCAGGAGGCTAAGAGACAACCTTGTTGTGAGGTCGCCCCAGGTAGGTTGCAGGAAATCTAAGTTGTAAACTTGAGGCTTCTGGTGGAGACGTGGTGTTCTTCAAGGACCTTTCTGGAATCTTTCTGGCATCAGATGAGCATCTGCCTGGATTTTTTCTGGCCTCAGAAACAGGATTTGGTATCCAATACATCCTGTTACCATGTTTATCTCCACAGCCTGTCCTCACCTTAGTGTTTTCTTCCATCTGAGAATTTTCTTTCCTGATTTCCTCTTGCACTGAGGACAACTAGTTCCCGGATTCCAGGGCCCATCAATCCTATTCTGAAATAAGGAACAGGAGAGTGTTAATGAGTGGTACAGGCCCGTGGCTGATACTTGGGCTGGGGGAATTCTTTCATGATTTGTCAAGAAAGTCGCTTTGATTTGCCACACCCGACCTTCTAAACTGTCGTGTTCTGTGGGATTTCCTCCTGACCTAACAAGACAGGTAAGAAAGATGCAAGACACTCAAGGAGGCGCTCTTGAGAAGGGTGAGCATGGACCGTCTCTTGGCCTCCTCCTTGATGGACTGAATCTGACTAGAAAATGAGTTATGGATCTGGAGAGAAGGCTCAGGGCTTGAGAACATTGGCTGCTCTTCCAGAGGTCCCAGGTTCACGGGTTCAATTCCCAGTACCACATGGCAGTTCACACCTATCTGAACTACAGTTTCGGGGGTTACAACACCCTCACATAGATATACATGCAGGCAAAATACCAATCAATGCTCATAAAAATAATATATCAAGAAAAGAAAATGAGTTACATCAAGCATTGACATTAACTAGACAGGTCTCTAAAGTAGGTCTACCTGACATTTTAGTTACCATTTAAAAATTCGCATCAAAAGGCATTTCCATTTGAAAGGCTGTTGCCTGCTTATTAGCTCTTAAAAGCAGGGACAGTTCCCACTCAAGGCTGTGCAACACTCTCTGACCTTTGATTTCCACTGGGTTTTTATCCAAGGCTTTCTTAATGGTGTTTATATAAAGCTCAGTATTTTTGAGTAAATTTTTATGCAGTCTCATGACATTTAGAGGTGCAGATTTAACCACTGGGTGTGGTGGTTTAATGCTTTTAATCCTAGTTCTTGGGAGACAGAGAGGAGAATCTCTGTGAGTTTGAGGCCAGCCTGGTCTACAGAGTGAGTTCCAGGACAGGCAGTCAGAGCTGTACAGTGAAACCTTGTCTCAGAGAGAGGGAGGGGTTGGGGGGGGAGTGAGAGAATAAAAAATAAAAAAATGGAGAAAATGACGTACCTAAGTGAAAGCAATCCAGTCTGTGGATTTCATCAACTATTTTATGAATGGCTGTATACACCTGTGTTTTGTATGTTATATCTACATATATCCTTGTATTTGTATATTTGCATTGTACTAATTGTCTTATAGATCAGTGAGTGTTCATGCAGGTTAAAATAATTAAATCAGCCATAAATGGGGGCTGGAGAGATGGCTCAGTGGTTAAAGAGTGCTGGCTGTTCTTCTAGAGGACCTAGGTTCAGTTCCCAGCACCCACATGACAGCTCACAACTGGCTATGACTCCCTTTCCAGGGGCTTCTCTTATAGCCTCTGTGTGAACCAGACACTCATACGGTACACACACATATGCACACATACAAATAAAAACTTTTTAAAATTAAAAAAAGACACCTTAAGTGTCTTTTGGTTCACATGATTTAGGTAAATCTTTGACATTATGTTAATTTAAATTTATTGGTAAGATTAAAAAACAAAGATGTCATTAAGATTAATATGTCTCTACCTCGGTTGCTAAGTCAATAAACATGATGTTTTATCTATTAAGTCTAAAGGAATGTGTATTTGTTTCAAACGATCAGTTTCTGGCACTGGTTAAATAAACACCTATTATTTTAGGTTATTGTACTATATTTGATGTCTCTTATCTAGTATCTAGTTATATACAAACATCTGTAGGCTTAATATGTGATGTGTTGAGCTTCATCCAAATGTTCTGTAAAAGTCTGCACAGAAGGCTGGGCCATGCGAGGAACTCAGTAAGTGCTGTTATTTTGTATACTATGCGTGGCATCTAGAGCTTTAACACAAAACCATCAATAAAATTCTTAGCATTACTGCCTTTTGTATTTGTTTCATTTAGAAAAAAGAAACATTTGGGAAATTTTGCTTTATCTGGTCAAGACCTGGCCTTCCCCCTTTTTTCTTTAAAGGAATAGAAGGTATCTTTGTAATTTTTTTGAGATTTATTATTTTATATGTATGCGTGTTTTGTCTGTGTGTATGGCTATGTACCATGTGCATGCCTGGTGCCCCTGGAGGTAAGAAAAGGGCATCAGATCCCATAGAACTGGAGTTACAGACAGTTGTTAGCCGCCATTTGAACCCAGGTCCTCTGGAAGAACAGTGCTTTTAGCCACTGAGCCATCTCTCCAGCCTGGAAACTTGGTCTTCATCTGCTGTTTTAATCACTTTTGCCACAGTCTGTTTGAGATAAACCTATGTATCAGATAAATCTACTATGATCATTACTATTCCTTCCTAAACTGATAAGATGTTTAAAACTGATTTATGTAGACCGATCAGAGACAAAATCACCGAATTATAGGTTCCGCTGTGCCAGAGATTTTAAGTTCCGTATTAAACATAAAAACTTAGTTTATAGAAGACCTATTGATCTGATTATTAGATTTTTTTTTATGTAGAATGTATTTATGGCCCCAAGCCTCCTGAAATGCTAAGTTTAGGGAAATTCCAAGCCGATGTCCTCTGAACTAAAATTGTACTAATAGCCTTTTCAGATTTACACTTGTGTGCTCCCAACTGCATATGGTTGTCTCTGTGCACACTATGGTGGGGATGATGGCAGCGGAGGGCGTGACAGTGGACCTGAGTCTGCATGCACTTTGATGGTAGAGCTAACAGGATGGGCTGGTGAACTGGATGTGTACTCTTAGGTGAAAAAAGTCAAGGATGGCATCATTGCTTAGACCAAACTCCTGGAAAGACAGGGCTGCCATTAAACTTTTCTGAGAAATACTGACCGGAGCAGTTGTTACAGGTGTGATGAAGGCCGGATTTGTGAGTTCGTTTCTGCAGAGTTGGGGATAAGCAGTGGGATTCCAAGTGGATCTGTTGAGTAGGCAATTTGGATATGCAAAAACGGGTACTGCATGAGTTCTGAAACATGGTTGTGGCCCAGCCCGTGTTTTATTTATTTATGTTGTGTTTAAGTGTGATTCCTAACGCAGAGTCAAGCACCTGGCCCACAGTTAACATATTTGTTGGGTACCAGGTCTTTCTCAAAGTCCAACTTCTGGAGACTTCTTCCTCATCTGAGTTCGCCCTCCTGTGTCAGGACCCCGTGCTCCATAGCATCAGTGACATGAATGGGAGGCTGTAGCTACACCCTGGGTGCGACTATTACTAATACGGCCTTGTGCACGAGCGACTGCCATCCAAAGCCAGAAGGAATCCACTCCTGGGAAAGATTCCATAGCTTCCAGCAGCAGCAGGGTAGGTGAGAACTGGAAATAGTCATTGTCGGAGCTAAGAACATTTGATAGACTTTGAGGGAAGCATTGTGTCCCATGGTGGCTATAGATGAGAGGAGAAAGATTATCGGCAAAGACAATGTTTTGGGAAAGGAGGGTAGGCTCTGGGAACATGTTTGAGACAGGGTATAGCCGTTGCTGGCATCAAACTCACAGAGATCTGCCAGTCTGTGCCTCCTGAGTGCTATGATTAAAGACATGTGCTACTATACTGGGCAACTAGTTTCTTCTGGATTGACTGGAGCTAATCATTTGGCTTGTTCATGCGTAAATAGGGCTCAGTAACCCTGGTGGTGATGGGATTTAAGGAAAGGCTCATAAATATGAACAGTCTTTTTGGTTGGGTCTCTAATTTGTTGCTAACTAATTAATTTCCTTTATTTCCTTTTCATTCCAGCCTTTGGTCTTCTTAATTAAGTCAAGAACATCTCAGATTTTTTTTTTCTTTTATCTCCTTATCTTTGGCCAGAGATATGCAACAGGCCAAGAGTTCAGTGAAGGAAGTAAAGCCTGACCTTTATCTTTAGTGAGACTTCCCTTCTGACCAAGTCTTTTAATTCATTCTATGGTGGGGTAGGGACACCTGACTTATCTAAAAATGTGCTTTTACATCTCCTTCCTGAGAGGAGGGCAGATATTTCAGTTTCTTTCATACTTTCCCTCAATGATGCGCACCAGAGACAAAGAAGACAGACAACTCATTTAGAGATATAGAATCTATTTTGGGTGGTGCACTCCCCACCTGTTCATTAAAGAAAATGACCATAATAGTGCTCTTAAAGGGATACAGAAGTCGGGGAGCCTATAAACTGTCATCACACTGGGGGTTCTCCTTTACCAGACGAATATTTCTAGCTGAACCTTGGGACCTAGGTGGGTTTCCTTGTTGGGTTGCACAAGCCAATCTAGGGCAGTGCCGAGGACAGTGTCGGTGCTGGCCTGGTCCTGAGACAGAGCCATGCTGTCGAGAGCCTGGCCCGAGCTTACTGTCTAGAGTGTGGGGAGCAGTTAAAAACGATGTGACCACTGACCTCTCAGAGGACGCAGGTTGGGCCTTGGGAACCCTGCAGTTCTCTGTCTTAGTTTTCTTGGTGGGGCTTTTGGCTTGAGGCAGACCCTTGTCAGCATTTTCTTGACTGGGTTTGGACACTTTCCCAGGTGTAGAGACCGGGGGTTCCATGTGGGTTTTGTCTTTTATCTTGGGGCTCATAGAGTGAAGGAAGGATTTCATCTTATTTTTCAAGCCAGTCTCTGGAAGGCTGGGGCTACCATGAGGAGAGCCTGGCATCACCTGCCTCTGTGAAATGTGGTCTTGCCAAGCTTGGCCCCTAAAAGGTTTTCCCTGAGTTGGTGGGCATGGGAAAGGCAAACCTTGGGAAGTCTTGGAGGCCACAGGCTGGGGGACCTTGGCACTCCTTGCAGGTTCCAGGATGGCATCTACCTTGGTCAGACTGTCTTGCATGTTCTGTGCAGCGTCTATCACCATAAGGACTTCTGGAGGTGGATCTGGGAACTCAAACTCAGAGAGATCCTGGGGGCTGGGCGGATAAGATCTAGGCCTCTGCTCTGAGGAGCCTTGGGGTGTCTCAGGGGGAGGCCTCTTTTCTGGCTCCTTGTCTCCATCATGGTGTGTCTTCCCACTGGTCAGGGGAAGCCCAAGACCTGCATCCCCTTCTTCAAGGTCCCACACTGCCTTGGGTTTCCCTGACTCGTGTCTCTTTTCTGTCAGTGTGGGGACATGGGCTGAGTACTTGCTCTTGCCTGGGCTTTGAGGCTCAGTGCTAAAGGTTTTCTCTAGGTTGGGTTTTTCCCCACTGGTCTCCAGCTGAACACAGTGCACTTGGGCCTCAGTCATATTCCTGAGTTGTGAGGCCTTGGAGCCCCACTGGGCAGAACCATGGGGCGCTGCCTTGGAACTAGGTTGCTTTTGCTTGTGGCACACGGCCTGCCCTGCAGTGGCTGGCTGTTTACCAAGGTGGACCCTGTTTGCATCTGGGGCCGGAGGAGAGTCCCCTGAGTTGGGCAGTTGTGGTAGCGCTGTGCTTTCTGGGATGCTGAGACTCCTAAGAAACTCCCGTATAGCTTCACTCTCTAGGTCTGCTATGGCTAGCTCTTTGTCCTCCCTCTCCTTTGTGGATATTCCAAATTGCATCGCTAGGACCTTCTTTTTCAGGTGGAAATTCAGTCTCGCCAAGATATGTGTGTTTAACAAGTTGGGGCTGTATGGAGGCCTCTTCCTTGTCCTTCCTGCCACCTGCACTTCAGACTGGACCTGTCCTGCAATGTCCGCAGAAGCCTCCTTGTCATCCCGAGTACATGGCTCAAGTGAACCTTCGAGGGAGGTTGTGTGAGGCAGAGTTTCTGGTGGGCTTTTGACAGCCCCGGACATCCTCTCTGTGGTTCTAGGTTTGCTAGTGACTGCTGGGGATGAGGGTCTAGAGAGGGCCACGCAGTAAAGGGCAGGCAGACCTGACAGGAAGGCCAGATACTTATGCTGCAACGTTGTCTCCAGTTTCTTAACAGTTTCCTCAGGTAGGGCTTGTGGCCGCTTACAGTGCTCAATGAGAGCGCCTGATGAGGCCTGTTTCTCCTGGTCGAGGGCTGCTGGTTGTGGTTCCTGAGAAATAGCTGTGTGCTGTAGGTCAGGGTTACTTTTTGCCTGTAGCTCCAGGTGCCGGCTTGCTGGAATGTTTGAGAAAGAAGCCCCTACTGACAAGCTCCTGGGAATTCTGCATTCCTGGAAACTTTGGACACAGGCGGGGACCTTGCCCTGATGGATCTGTCCACATTTGGAATCAACGTGGGTCTTCAACATTGCCTTTGCCTGGCTGAACAAGTGAGGTGTGGGAACTGACCCTCTGTCCACGGCGACTGCAAACGTGTCACCGGACCCATCAGCCTCTGGGTCGCCTGGCTGCAGGATGCTCACATTGGGTAGTGCCCCGTTGCTGCAGGACCGGGGCTGCTGGCTAGGAGAGGGGAGGACCAAGTGAATGGAGCGTTGGATCCTCTGGGGCAGGCCCCAGCGCAGGTGAGTCAGCTGCTTCTGGAGGTGGAATTCCAACAGCCTGCGCGCATGCTCTGGGAAGGAAGATTCCCTGGTGCAATGCCAGAAGGGCCGGGTGGTTTTTACAGTCTTAGTTTTACCGCGTGCTTCACACAGCACGTGACTCCGGGTGTCCCGATTTCTTAGGACGACCGCCGGCAGGCCCCACCGAAGCTTAACTTGCCTGTCTAGGAGGTGACATTCCAATGCTTCACACTCGGCCAGCGTCAGAACCGGGACATCCATCCCTGCTCCTTTATGCTCATGGGGAGTCTTGGCATTTGGAGAAGAAGAGAAAGTAGGAGGGGCTGACTGACGTGGAGTTTGGGGCAAGAAGGGGAGTGAGAGCTCCCTTGTGGAGGAGGGCTTGGACGCAGTCTTGTTCTCGGATCCACCTTGAGAGCTCACGGAAGGGACATCTAGGGACTCGCTGTGAAGAGACGGAAGGCCACAGAATAACTGGCTATAATATTCACTCTGAAAATTGCTACCCGAGTCATTAGCTTGTGCCTTGGGGGGTGGGTAGAAGCCACTTAGGTGTTCAGCTTCACGAGAGGGCAAGAAAGCGTGGATCTGGTGCCAGTGCTTCCTTTGCCTCAGGCTTACAACGGACCATTCGGAAACCCAGCAGGCCTGGGTGGGCTGGTCTGCCCAGCACAAGCTTTTGGTGAGGTGGGACATGGTCCCCACTTTGTCCATAGTGAGCTCAGAGCCACTGCTCAGACAGGAAGAGAAAGGAGTTTTTCTAAATTGACAAAATGATGTCGGGTCTGGCATAAACTGCCTCAAGGACTCCTCCACACGTCTGGGGAGGCCCCACTTCTGAAAATGTATCCATTTTTTTACATGTATTTCAAGAAGCCTGCAGACTTGAGGACTAAGAAATGGCATATGGGAAGACAGCACCGCATCCATGTCCAATGACATAGTATGGGTCAAGTTAGTGATCTCTGGGTCCAGGGATGGTAAAGACACAGAGGAATTCAAGTGATGGTGGTCTTGGCTCTCCTGGTCAACCTCTGGTTTGTTTGGTGTTATTTTTTTCTCAATCATTAAAACCACAGGATCCTCGTACCTTGAAGGAACCATAGTCTCTGGAACCATGGGCATGTCTGCCAGGTGAAATTTCTGCTCTAGCTGGAGGTTTTCCTCATAGCACTGTTGGACACCGGCTGCATTGGGCGGCTGTGCTAAGTGATCTGTTAGCTGTGCTAGTGTTGAAGTTTCAGACACTAGTGAAAGATGTGTGGAGGGTCTGGGATGAAGCTCCACGTTCTGCTCAAAAGTCTCACTGGATACGGGCAACATCTCCAGGCAAGAAGAGTCCTGTGGCAGTCCCAACAAAGCAGGGGAGATCTGACTTTGCTCGCTCTCCAGCAACTGCTGGATCTCTAGAGTTGCAGCATCACAGATTTGGCAGCAGGGATCTATACACAGGAGCTGCCGCACACGCTCCTCCTTGGGGAGCCAGCTTTGGCTAGGAAGAGAAAAACAGCCACTGTTAATGATGGAAGGACGTGTCTGGGGCTTGCTGTACCCTTTCCTCCAGGCCCACAGTTCTGAGCCTACACTGTGGCAAATGAGGTCCTCGTGGGAACCCTTCAAAGTATGGGATGTCCCTGCTGCCGTGCCCAGAGAACCACTGGGATCATTCACAGCCTTTGGAAATTAAGTCGAGGCAAAGATGATGGACTGAAGGGGTCCCAGCAACTGCTCCCTCGCCCCAGACAGACAGGAGATCAGACCCGGGGCTTTGTCCTTGAAAGGGAGTAGCTGGAAGCAGGTGACAGGGGGACCTCTTTATCCTAAATCTACTTGGTGTCTCAGTGCAACTCCAGCGATGCCCTTCGCAAAGTGTGCAAAGGCGGCTCTGAAATGCGGAACCGCTGAGACCCTAACAGAGGGAGCTGGGTATCAGTGGGTCTTCCCTCCCGAGGTGTGAACCATCTCTGCCCTGACAACCTCTCAGCTGGTGACCTCGCCTCCTCAGTGTGTTTCCCCTTCCATCAATCCCCACCCCCTTTTTTCCTTCTCTCATAGATGACATCCTAACGGAAGTTCCCCTCCCTCTGCTCCTTCCAGACCCCCTCTCACCCCCCTTTTCCCCCAATTCCTCTCCTCCTCTGTTTCCCTTTTCCAGAAAAGAGCAGGAAATTTGCAGGCAAATGGATGAAACTATCCCTTTGCTCACCCCTGGCCCACACCAGGCCAAGAAACCATCACAGTTTAGACCACAAAGGTCAAGCAAGAGGTCACCTTTTCATGATAGTCAGCAGCTCCCACGGCTTCTCAGCTTCTTCTCGGGAAAGTCTCCTGGCTGAGGGAGCAGGACACGGTGTTAGATGGTAAATGAGCATTTTAGGGTCTTCTATAGGAACGCCTTCGGCTCAGGAAAAGGAGGCTGAAGACCCAGACCCAGTGCTCTAAGGCATGTGTTTGTATCTAGCATTGCCGTCTAAAATTTGCCATCCTTGCCTCGTCTCATTTATCTCTACAACCACGTGAGGTGCACCAGGATCATGCCGAATAAGTTGGGTTTTACAGGATCATAAACCTAGTTCTTAAATCAGATTTTCTCTTTTTTATGACAAAATACCCGATATTAGTAACTTGGGTTTATTTTGGCCCTTAGTTCCATCCACTGTGGCACTTGGCACCGAGTGTAGCCAGTCCTAGAGACAGCCCACATGCATTGCAAGTGGTAGGGCCATGGGAGTGGACCTTTAAGGACTACAGTCCCCCTTCCGCTCTGCCTGCACACTGCTTCCAGATGTACCCTGATGCGAAGAAGCCACGCTGTAAGCTCTTGCTGCTGAGACAAGTCACCCAGCCATTCTGACTTCCCTGCTGTGATGGACTGCCAAACTCTGAAACTATGAGCCCAAATAAGCCTTGCTCCCGTGCTCGGCTACGCATGCCATCACCGTGATGAGAAGAGGAAGTAGTAAATCCCAACTTATCTCTTGCTGTACAGTGATCTGTATTACTTCCTTAGTTGCCTATTCTCGAGGAAATTAGGTAGAATCTTTTAGAACACCCCCATGTTCTCCGTTCCCACCCACAGCAGCCTTCTGTGTCAATCCCAGGTTGGAGAAGTGGATTTTCAAAGGGAGAGCGTGTGGCCCTGGGCAGCATCATGGGGAAGAGGAATGTGGGGAGCTCTCCTAGGGGCAGGGCGTAGGGGACGCTGGGATTTTACCTCTTGATGCCGCATCTCTAGCTCTCTGCCTGACTTTTCGGTGATGCTTAAAGAGAAAAATATTACAGTGTAAAGGTAGGACTACATTTTCTTCTTCATGTTGTGGAGGAGTAAAAGATCATATACATTTCCCTATATGTTACATGCCCCTTAGAAAGATCGTATACATTTCCCTATATGTTACATGCTCCTTAGAAAGATCATATACATTTTCCTATATGTTACATGCTCCTTAGAAAGATCGTATACATTTTCCTATGTTACATGCTCCTTAGAAAGATCATATACATTTTCCTATATGTTACATGCTCCTTAGAAAGATCGTATACATTTCCCTATATGTTACATGCTCCCTTAGAAAGATCGTATACATTTCCCTATATGTTACATGCTCCCTTAGAAAGATCGTATACATTTCCCTAAATGTTACATGTTCCCTTATGTGGCCTCACCTAGACTCCACCTTCCTTCCCACCTAAACATTTCCCTTCTCTGCTTGTTTCTGAATCACATAAGGCTTTCTATCCTCCTTCCTTACGTCTCTACTCTCATAACAACTTCTGTAGAGAGGGTGATACAGGAAGAAAAGCTGAACAGACTCTAAGGTGTTTGTGCCAGACCGAGGACACTGCTCACTAAGTCCCCACTGGGAGGGGTCTTCTGAGATCTAGGGCGGTAGTTTTTCTATTGTCTAATTCTCAACTCAAGACAAACAGGGAGGCTGTTGCCTTTTCAATTGGAGTACACTGCAGGGGGAGGGCCTGGTAAGGAATTATTTATGGGTCTTTTGTAACCACTTGCTTTCTTTTCTAAGTCCTTTGGCACAAAATGGGGGCAATCTGAAGGAACACTTAGCATTTAAAAGTTACTTAGCTAAGCTTAAATTAGTTCAAGTTTAGTCAGCATTTTCCTACCCGGCAGCAGCTCTTTTTAGGTTCCAACCACAGTCCCTGGTAACTCCGTCTTATTTGCCAGGCAATCAGGAAAATGATGAAGATGGAGCTATAGGCACATAAAGGATACCCGACGTCCCACAGAGTACATGCAGAGCTCAACATGACCTAAACCTCATCAGCATGAGGGCACCGGTCATCTCTGCATTTGGTCATTCGGGGGCCTCAGTGCCTAATGGCTCTCAGTACTGGACACTGTCATGGCTGCCTCACAGAGGATAGAATTGGGATGCCAGAGTGCATCACAAAGCTCTGTGTTCCACAGAGGTTGTTCCAGTGGAATTCACTCTGCAGAAGTGTGTGTGCGTGTGTGGTGTGTGTGCATGTGTGCATATGTGTGTGTGCATGTGTGTGGTGTGTGTGCATGCGTGTGTGCGTATGTGGTGTGTACACGTGCATGTGTGTGTGTGCACGTGTGTGCGTATGTGTGTGCGTGTGCGCGCGCATGTGGTGTGTGTGCATGTGTGCATATGTGTGCGTACGTGTGTGTGGTGTGTACGTGTGTGGTGTGTGTGTGCGTGTGCGTGTGTGTGCATGTGTGCATATGTGTGTGTGCGTGTGTACGTGGTGTGTGTGAGTGTGTGTGTGCATATGTGTGCGTAAATGTGTGTGGGGTGTGTGTGCATGTGTGTGGTATATGTGTGTGTGTGTGTGTGTGTGTGTGTGTGTGTGTGTGTGTGTGTGTGGTCATCTGTAAAGGCGATGGAGCACGAGGCTATAGGTACCATGCTCACAACCTCTCTATCCCCTTTCCTTTCCTTCCTTTGTCTCCCATAGCAACCTCTTCGTTCAGCTCCCTCCTTCCACAATTCGCTTGTCTTCAGAATCTTGAGTTCTTTGGCACACGGTGAACCTTGTGAGAAAGAGTGACTGGGAGAGAGACCTCCACTAGCTCCACACCCGGAGACCCACAGGAGTTTAGAGGGTATGGCGTGGTCCCGGCATTGAAATGGAGAACTTTGATGTTTTCAAACAGGGGGTTACCAGAGATCAAAACTACTTGAGGGGCTGGTTGTGGCTGATGTGCTGCAGCCAAGGTGGCAGCATCTTTAAAGGACACCATTCGGAGAAGAAAGCCCATCTGCAGTGTGCAGGTGGAGAGCAACGGTAAGCATCGCCCTCCTCCAAGGTATGCTGACGTAGCAACTGCACCCCAGCCTTGAGTTCCCAGCCATGGGAGAGCCTCCCAGCACCCAGCCTTCCGTGCTACTGGTGTAGAGGATACACGGTGTGCTCACCCCTGCCCTGCAAGGTCAAGAGCACAAAGACATTTAGGGTATCCGTTTGTAGTCTCTGATCTCAAGAAACTACAACTCTAGTTGCAAAGATTCATTCAAATAAAGTAGGAGTTAGCAACAGGATAAACAGAATTTTGTGTTCATCTTATTCTTGCAGCTATCCCATTTCTGAGAAGAGGAAGCACAACGAGGGTCCTGGTTATCTGAGTCGGCTCCTGGACTCCTGGGTAGTTAGAATTTGGCTTAAAACTGCTGGCTGTGCTTCAGAGATCTTCCTAATAGGATGAGGACTTCTAACAAATATATGAGCTAAGGAATGGGCCGCTAAGTTCATTTGGCAGCAAGAAATGCAGGTTTGCTCTTGAAGAAGTACAGGTGACTAGGTGGGAAAGCAAGAAAGAGGAAAGATTTGAGCAGGGTTGAGACCTGGGGGATGACTGACATTTCTTTATTCGAGTCACTAACACTGATTATTTTTCTTAAAGTAGGCATGCATAGTACAAAATAGGAACACACACATATAGTACAAAATAGGAACACACACACACATTTTATATATATATATATATATATATATATATATATATATATAACAAAACAGAAAAGGCAGAAGGTATATTTCTTTCCCATCTTTGTTTCCGTCCACTTAATTTTCTTATTCAAGTATGTTTCAAGATTACATTAGCATAGTGTTGTGGTTTGAATGAGAATGGCCCCATGGGCTCATGTGTTTGAATGTTTAATCCTTAGTTAGTGGAACTGTTTGTGAAGGATTAGGAGGTGTGGCCTTGTTGGAGTAGCTGTGTTACTGGGGTGTGGGTTTTGGGGTTTTTAAAAGTCTATGCCTGGCTCAGTCTCTTCCCCCACAACTTGCACATTAGATGTGAGCTCTTAGCTACTTCTCTAGCACCATGTCTTGACTGTCTGCTGCCATGCTTCCTGCCCTGCTAATCATGGTCTAACCCTCTGAAAATGTAAGCAAGACTCCAGTTAAATGCTTCATTTTATAAGTTACCTTGGTCATGGTGTTTCATCACAGCAATAGAACAGTGACCAAGATATATAGGAAGCATAAATAATAAACTTGGTTATGTGAATTTTAGGCTTTGAAGTTGGTTTGTGGGAAGAATGTGAGAGGGTTTGGAGCTGCAGGCTAGAGAAGCTTTATGATGCTGTATTGATGGGCATTCAGTGGGAGAACAGAAGACCAAGATGCCACTAGGAACATGGGCAGTAGAAGCCATGCTGTTGAGGTTTCAGAGAACAGGGACTCTATTGGGAACAGGACTAGATGTCGTTCATGATACATTCTTGTAGTGGCATTTCAATTGTATTTTAATAAATAAAGACTGCCCAAAGATCTGAGAGTAAAACAGTCACACTAGCAGACTCTTTCATGAAGCAGGAACCCTGAAGTATAGTCTCACCTTTAGGCAAGTTCAGCAGTCATTTTTCTGTGGGACCCACATGTCCACTTCATACAGCATACCATGAAGCAGTTCAGGAAAGAGCAGTTTCTTTTCTTGCCCAAATGGCTATCAAACTCCATAAGGAGTCTCTTCACTGCCCATCTTCCTCTTAAAGTGATAGGTGTTGACAGGAGCAGATGTGTGTCATTGTCATGAAAAGTCTAAGTTCTTAAAATATTTTAAATGCTATGGCTATTCTGTAGTCTATTAAAGATCTGAAGAATACCCATCTAACTGAAATATATCTCTAAATATCTAGAAAACCTAACTAACACATGACTACAAGCTTGACTATTTTAGATGACTATTTATTAACCTGTATTCCTTAATTATACATTACATTTTTAATTTTTTTTGTTTATTTTTGGAGACAGGGTTTCTCTGTGGTTTTGGAGCCTGTCCTGGAACTAGCTCTTGTAGACCAGGCTGGTCTCGAACTCACAGAGATCCACCTGTCTCTGCCTCCTGAGTGCTGGGATTAAAGGTGTGCGCCACCACCACCCGGCTTACATTACATTTTTAAATGAATGGCACAATCACAATACCTTAATCAAGAGCAGAAATATACATATAACAAGATTGACCTAAAATTTGTATCACTAGACCAAGATCTATACCAATGCAAATCTCTATAGCATATCCCTCTTTTAATGTAGACAAACATTTTAAACAATATTTGGGCATAGTTCTCTCCAAACTGCTTTCTGCTTTTTGTTGGGTGAAGTAATTTTGGGGGTGTTCACAGTGACCTTTAAGGGGTTCTTGGTTCATCAAACCACATTAGTCTGGAAGAAACCCATAGGTTCTCATTTTCTGTGGAAACAAAAGGAGAACCTCTCTTCCAAAGCAGCAAATCCTTAGACACAAATTTTGGGAATCAAGATTCCTTTAAAATATATAGGTTGGTTTAGCTTAGTAGCCCATACAATGAAACTTCTCTCTGTACTTAGCTCCTTCACAGTCAAAAAAATTCAAAGGAAACACAATAGTATACATAATCCAAACTCTCTGTGTATATTCCATCTTTATGTAGCTTATTTTTCTTACTCTACAAGTTTAATATTTATTTTATTATCTTTAGTCCTTTAATCTATGACTGTCTTTACTTTCATATTATTTTTACTGTCTCTTTACTCCTTTTCTTCCCTCTCCCAAGCCTACTTACATTTTGTAAATACACTGTGTCTTTAAGTCTGAATCTGTCCTATCGTGCATCTGTAATTTTTTTTCTGACCAGGACTGCTTCTTAAATGCTAAAGCAGCTTGGCTAGTACTAAGGCTGCTTTACCTTTTGGCTCCACCCAGACCAGCATGGTGGATGTCTGTTCACTACCTCTGAGACTGCCCAGTAGGAACCATCCTCACCACCTCAACTCTGATAACCAGTTGGCCCATGCTGCCACCAAGTAACTTGCAGCACACTGCCCACAAACCCCGTTTAAATGCTTGGCCTCCTAAAAAAGCCAGAGTTTGTACTGACAGCATGGTCCAGGAAGCTGCTATTTTGAAACTGTGCGCGGGGGGGGGGGGGGGGGGGGGGGGGGGGGGTTCTGCTACCACCTTTAAGAGAAGAAGACCTCTCTTAAAGGAGCCACCAGCAAACAGAGGAAGAAGCTGTGTTAAACTCTGTTTTTTTGTTTTGTTTTGTTTTGTTTTGTTTTGTTGTGACTAGGATTCCTTTTCAAGCTCTCTCAGGTTTTATGTGAATATAGTTAGCCACGTTGGTGCACCTCTGTCCCACCCAGTCCCACAGCCATTCAGTCCCAAAGAAATACACAGAGGTTTACAATAATTATAAACTGGTTGGCATATTAGCTCAGGTTTCTTATTAACTCTTACATCTTGACCCATAATTTTTGTCTATGTTAGCCACATGGCTTGGTACTTTTTATCAGTGAGATATTCTCATCTTATTTCCTTTGTGTCTGGTGACAACTCAGCCTTTCCCCAGAATTCTTCTGTTCTTGTTGCCCAACCTATACTCCCTGCCTGGTTGTCCTGAACCTGTCCCCCTCCCCCCTACAGAGCAAAAGCTGATAAAGTCAAGCAATGGGTAGCAGGATTGTGTTCCTTCTATGGAATTCACAAGTGGGCTCTGTATGAAGCTGTGAAGGCATCTAGGTTGCAATGGAGACTCCAGAATGTTGATGATTCTAGCGCTGTGGAATGTCTGGTGAGAAAAGCTTCAGGTACCAAGTGGAGTCAGCCCCAGAGAGAGGCCACGCATACAGCAGATAGCAGTGCTGAAGAGTCGGTCCCTCTGTAGCCTAGAGGATGCCACAATAAGTCCCAGATGCCCGTCATGAAGGGACTCGTGTTTGTCCTGCTGGCCTCAGTTTTGCTTTGGTCTTCCCTTGATAAATGCCTCTATTTCTCACCTTTGGGATGGGTCATTTACTCTGTGCCATCGGAGGTAGAATGTATTCAACTTAATTTTAGATTTGACAGGGAACACAGTTAAGAGATGGCTTTGAGTTTTGTAAGAGACTTTGGTATTTTTAACAGTACTGACATTGGTAAGACTCTGGGTACTTTGAAGTTAGAATGAATGCATTTTGCACTATGAGAGGATCATGAGCCTATGAGGCCCAGTAGTGGAATGTTCTCCCGTGGGCTCATGTCTTTGAACACTTAGTATCCCGTGGATGGCACTATTTTTGGAAGTTATAGAACCTTTTGGGAGGTGGGACCTGGAAGAAGCAGGTCACAGGAAGCAGGCTGTATAGACTGTAACTGAGGCCTGCTTCCAGGCCACTTTCTGATGGGTTATGTGGTATAACTAGCTGCCTATGGACCTGCTGTTGCAACAGCAAGCTGCTCTGGCTGCCACGGCTTCCCTGCATACTCCCTGCACACACTCTTCCTCCAAGAGCTGTTTCTGTCAAGTATCCACCACAGAGGGAAGAAGTAAGCAGGACACTGTGAGGAAGAGAAGCCTCATCCTAAGTTAGAGTCCCTGAGGGGAACTGTCCCTCAGCTGGGGGAAATAGTAAGGAAGCTGTTGACAACACAGCACAGCTGGGTTCTGAAGAAAGCAGGCAGTGCACAAGCATGCGTGCAGGGAAAAACATACAAACGTGTTAAAAAAAGAAAGAAAGAAAAAGAAAAAAAAAAGCAGATTTGGGGGCTGGTGAGACAGTTCAGCGTTACCAAGTCTGACAAACCTGGGCTGCTGTCAGGACCCCTGTGGTAGGAGAGAACCACTCTTGAAAAGCTCTCTCTCTCTCTCTCTCTCTCTCTCTCTCTCTCTCTCTCTCACACACACACACACACACACACACACACACACAATTTAATAAAGGGGGGAGGAGAACAGATCTTGCCAAGATTAGGTAATCTTTGGCCTAGGGATGCTT